CCGGCGCTGGTGACGGCCACCATGCGGGGTTGGGGATTCCCTGCGTTGGCGGTGCTGGCACCGGCTCCCCAACGGCATCCCAGGAGGGACCCACAGCGCTGGGGGGGCTGCTGAGCTCTCCCCCTGCCCGCACCCCTGAGCTGCCTTTGCCTCCAGACCTAGTTTATTAACAACAGTTAATTACCATCAGTTGCGAGAGCCGAGTAAAGGCTCAGCTTCCAACGCCTCGATCAAACGCCAGGGCTGCGAGATCGGCTGCGGCGGCTGCTCCCGGGGTAGGCTCTGGCACTGCACTCTGTGGTCGGCTCTCCCCTTCCAGGAGCAGGGAGTTGATTCCCAGATGCGAGCAGGAACACGGCTCCTCCTGGGAAGCCCAGAGCCCTCTGCGGTCCCTGTGGAGGCAGCTCGGGGGGGGACTTTGCCCACAGGGTCATTGCTGCGGGGCAGGGAAGTGTCACATCCCCTGGTTTGAGGGTGCCTGCTGGCAAGGATATGGCGTTGGTGGCTCTGCCTGCGGCCACGCAGCCCCATGGGCTTGGGGGGGGTCCCCTGGTCTTGCCCCCACAGGAACAATAGGCAGGAGGGGATCGGGGCCATTGTGCTCGAGGCAGAGCTGGGTGAGCAGTGGGCTCCGGTGGTCCATGGCAAGTGACCGGGCTGGGGTGAGCATCCTCATCCCAGTATGAACCAGTCAGCCTCGGGGGGCTCCCATTGCCCGCAGGGGGCTGGGAGGGACGGGCTGCGCCTGGCTCCGCTCCATGGTTCTCCCTCTGCCCCCAGGCTGCTATGAGCCCAGGGGGCTGTGATTAAACAGGGTCCTTGCTTCTCCCTTAAATAAACTCCAGTCCAAGTCCTTTCTCCTTCTGAAGCCCCATGCTCCGGTGTCCTTGGGAGGGATGGAGCTGAGCTGGCCTGGGCAGCCAGTGGTGGTGGCCGGAGGGTGACAACCGGCCGGGTCATTTCTCCTCTCGCTCATTGGTGGCACAGAGGTTGGGGTTCTCAGCCAGCGTTGGCCGCACTTTCTTCTTCTCCTTGAAGCGTCCTGAGTTGGAGACCTTGACATGTTTGCCCTTGGTGTTCTTGTCCACGATCTTCTCCAGGCGGGCGGCAAAGCCGGGTGGCTCCTCCTCGCCTGGCGCCTCCTGGCTCTCGCTGGGGGTGGCAGCGTGGCTGTCGGGGCTCTCATACAGCACCGTGGGTGCCGACCGGCGCTTCCGCAGGAAGGGCAACTTCCACCAGCCGTGGCTGTCGGCCATCGCCACCGGCCCCTGAAATGGAGGTGGGGGTCGTACTCCCTTCGGGGGGGGTTGTCCCTCAGCCCCCCAGCCCTGCCATCCCGGAGCTGACAGGCATAGACCAGGGACACGGGCTGCCGATCTGGCAGCCCCGGCAGGG